TAAGCTAGAAACAATTACATGAACAGTCTTCACCACAGAAATTCTCAGTACTGATAAAAACATCCCACAGCTTTCATTTTGTAGACTTCCATAGTTCAAGCCCCATCTTGTTCAAAGAAATTGACCTGAAGTGATTTAGAGGTTTGAATTTTATAAAATACTGTTTGAACACATTCATTTTACTTTGAATTTTTGATTGAAAGCGTACATTTGACAAACTAAATTGCCAGGCTGAACTGACCAAGCAAACCAAAACAAATTTCAGGCTGAAACAGCTGTTAAGTACACTTCATTCATTTTTCTGAGAAATCTATCAGAGAAATCCAAAGAAATCTGCAGGGCTGTTTATTTTTTTCACAGCTCTAAAGTTTCAGTCTCAGAAGTTGGTTGCATTTTCTCCTTCTCATAATCCAACACTGGAGAAATGGTTTGGCCGTTCAACCTAAAAACACTTCTTGTATTAAACAAGCAATTAAACTAGTTTTCAACAAAAAATGACTTGGATCTAAAGAATCACTCATTCAAAGCATTTAACATTCTAATAATTTAGATTTTAGTAAATAAAACTGGTTCAATTGCTTGTTACCACATGATTTTTATTTATTTATTTTATGCAAAGCATTTTTAACAGTAAAATTATCCCAATTACAAATACAAAAACAGCCGTTTTCTTGATTTCCTGTTCTGTTGAGATGTAGTAACACTCTTACTGTTATAAAGTGTCCAAACAGAGTTTGTGCAAGTAAATAAAACTGCCCTTCTATTGCAGTAAGACAGGCTGTGTAGTCATGTGTTATGGGGGGCAGGTGGCAAGATTAGAGCAATTGAGCAATTAAGCCCTGTGGGGGAAAAATATATTTATGAATATTTAAACTTTAGTTCAGTGTTTTCAGAAGGCTTACTTGACTTACTGTAATAATAAACAAATACTAAAGACAAATGTAATGTTTTCTACAATTCATGCAACCACAATGAAAAATAGTACAATTACAATACAACAGTAAATATAATACAGTTTCCAGCAGCAGAAAAAAAGTGTATACTCTCCTTTGACAAACTGGCAAATTAGTATAAATTTGAAAAGATTAACGAGCGAGTTATTAATAACATCATATTTTGCTGAAATGTATTCTAACATTGGAAGCATGAATTTACTACACGTTTGTAGTGTTAAAAGTACTGTCAGATATAACACACATGGGACCATCCTACCAAACTGCATTCTCATAGTGAAATAAGAAAGAGGGCTTTACATTATTTTGCCCTGTTGTTTGATTTTCATTCTGGGTTTCTGAATGTTTATTAGAAAAGAAATGTGCTTGTTGTTTACAGATCTTGCAGTTGTGCAGTTCTGGCTTCATTATTCAGTTTCTATTCCAGACAAGCTGATACTGGATTTGGGTGACTGCTTACATTGGAACAACTTTCCACATTCACATTCAGTCTGCAGAGGGATCTGCAGGAAATACTGACTGTGCTGTTATAGACCACTGTAGTCGTGCCTCATTCTGTAGTCTGCGTTATGCCCATATTAGGAGCTCCGGGTCTAAGCTCAATTTCTCTATCACACCCTGTGCTAAATGAAAATATTCAGAGCCCGATACGTTTTGTTCTGTGTACATTTTCTCCCAAATATCACTGCATTCTCTGAATTATGAGGTCGTTAAAGAGTCTTAATAATATTATTGCGACATGCAAGCTAAAGCTACTGCGCATCACTTTGATGTTACCTAGCTACAAAAAAGCAAGGTGGGCTGTGGTGGTGTTCTTGCGAGTTGTGTGCACTTTTATAGGTGTGCCCATAAATAAAACCTCTAGGTAGGACATTTCAAAACTACCAGTGTTAAAAGTGCGACACTGAATTTAGCCTCTTTTTTGTCTTGTCCACCAGCTGCTTGTTCGAATTTTCCTGTTCCACCTTAAATGGCACAGCAATGCTGGGTCCTGACCATTGAAGAACAGGGTAACAAAGTATGCAGAGAAACAGATGGACTACAGTCTGTAATGGTGTCTACACTCTCTGTCCAGTTTATCAGGTTCATTTACCATATAGGAGCACTTTGTACATCTACTTCTAATTGAAGGGTTTCATTTCCAAAATGCATTATAGACCATTTCAAACATGTTTCTCATATGTGTTGTTGTGAGCTTTTCAAATAGCAGCTCCCTCTGCTTTTGGGTTTATCAAGCCCAAAGTGAGCAATGCGAAGAGTGTCTATGAATTCCTCTTCTATTAGATATGCTTTCTTTGACACAGATTTTTCCAGAAATCCACTTGGCTTCATCCGGGATCTCGTCCTTTTTTTGCCCTTTTGGTCGAATTAACTGCAACTGTACTGTTGCTGAAATACATGCAGTATGCTCAGATATATTGATTTGAGCCAACCAGATTCCCTGCAGTAAATTCCACAATATAGTACATTCTGTAGAAAAGAGAATGTCAACCAGTTACTTAACACACATACAATTATTATAAGGCTTGCACAGTTATCACAAAATTAACATCAGGGTTAAGAATCATCACTACCGAAGCACATACTTTCTGTATTTAAGTAAATGTATTTGTGTTTTAATAAAAATATTATGATTTTGTGGGTGTACAGTTCGCTGAAATTGTCACTACAATAACAGTCACTACTGAAACATTTAGCCAAGGTTCAGTAGTGTTATGATTGTTTTGCTAGTGACAGAATGCACCCTAACCCATGTCCCTAACTTCATGATTAACTGGACTATGGGGTTCATTTATTCATGAACATGCACCAGCCATTCATTTTCATCGCAGTGTTTAACATAAAAAGGTAAGTTCATAAGTAGCCTTAATTTTATCTGATATTATAATGCTAATAGCTGTTATTTTAGCGCCAAGCTAATCATGTGTTCACTGGATTTCACATTGCTTTTTGCATTTGACCTCCAAAGCATTTATGATCGGTTTCAAATTCAATCATATCATAAAATAAGGGAATTGGGGGAGCCAGAGGTGAATAAAGCAGAAAGCAACAGGTAACTTTCCCAACAGTCTCTCTCTCCCAATGGCGTAGGGTTGGTCTCAACATTGGTAAAGACACAACAACCCACCTCCTAGCTCCCATCCCCTCAAGGGATATATATACATTGCAACACATCTAATGCAAATCCATTAGATGCAATTCCTGTTCCAACATGACTGCGCACCAGTGCACAAAGCAAGGTCCAAAAAGACATGGATGAGAGAGTTTGGTGTGGAAGAACTTGACTGGCCTGCACAGAGTCCTGACCTCAACCCGATAGAACACCTTTGGGATGAATTAGAGCGGAGACTGCAAGCCAGGTCTTCTTGCCCAACATCAGTGTCTGACCTCACAAATGGGCTTCTGGAAGAATGGTCAAAAATTCCCATAAACACACTCCTAAACCTTGCAGAAAGCCTTCCCAGAAGCGTTGAAGCTGTTATAGCTGCAAAGGGTGAGCCGACATCATATTAAACCCTATGGATTAAGAAAGGGATGTCACTCAAGTTCATATGCATGTGAAGGCAGACGAGCAAATACTTTTTTGCAATATAGTGTATATGAGGAACTACAGGTGTAGGGGAGTTTTTGACAACAGTTCTTTCGTTGAAAGTTAAACTGAACCAAGCAACAGGTCAGCATTAGGTTGAAATAAAGTTAATTTGTATGTAAATCATGAATTCTCAGCTTTTTCATTTTCCATTCTTAACAAAATATGAGAAAATATGATGGACAAAATACAAACTGGGTCTTTTTTAAAACTCATTTCATCAACACACGCAAAGGTCACCAGCATTGGGAAAGATGAGGACCAAAACAGAGAGAACTTCAGATGAATCATTACAGCTGTAACAGGAGATAAAAATGTTAAAACGTTTAATGATAATATGACAAAAGACATATGTAAGCTGTAAGTACGCAATATGGCTGCCGCTTTTACATTGGTTTTTCATTTGTTTTGCTTTGTATTGTTTTGTACTGTACTGTGTAGGCTTTGATGTTTCCCTGCTGGCTGAGGAGTTTGCCATCATTCCACCCAGATAGCAGACGAGAGTGATTTTCCACCCGTGGCTCAGAGTCTTCTTAGCTGGCTGTTTGGGTGACACTACAGTACAGCTATGATGCGCCCTGGACCGGCTGCTTGATGCTGTGTTGGGGCTATGAGGCTGCATGGACCGGGAATCAACACTACATCACAGATACGTGGCTGCTGAACTGGAGGTGTTTGGCTACAGGGAAATGCTCCCCCTTCATAGCTAAGCACATTTTCGGTGTTTGAGGCTTCCTAGGCTGGCTGCCTGCATGACTATTCATAGTTCCCCCACAGCTCTTTTCGGGCTAGTGACTCTATACTGTGGTAACCCACTAGTTGTTGCAACTGTGTTTTTGCAAAGCATCCTTGGGTTTGAGAAAGGCGCTATATAAATTCAACTTATTATTACCATATAATAATAAATGAATACGTCATATATCAGACTATTAAAATCATGGCAACCTGAATTCATCCATCATCTAAACCGCTTATCCTTCTGGGTCGCGGTGGGGTGCTGGAGCCTATCCCAGTTGTCATTGGGCGGAAGGCAGGATACACCCTGTACAGGTCACCAGTCCATCGCAGGGCAGACAGACAGGCATACACAGTCACACACACACACACCTAGGACCGTGGGAGGAAACCCACACAGACACGGGGAGAACAGGCAAACTCCACACACCCTGGTCACCCGGCCGGGAATCAAACCCAGGCCATTCTTGCTGTGAGGCGACAGCGCTACCCACTGTGCCACCGTGCCGCCCGGCAACCTGAATTATTATTATTATTATTATTATTATTATAGGTTGTTTCTATGATGATTTCAATATGTGTTACAAGAAACAATCCATTTTTGTTTTGAGAGATTAAAATGAAAAAAAAACTGTTTTTTGTCACAAATACGTTATTTTTTTTCTGTTCTTTATCTGACTTTGATTTCAAAACAGAAGTGGACAGACACACAGATTCTTTGTAGTTATTTATTTTGGAAGGCAGGAAGCCTCTCACACAGTTTAATGCAGTTAAACTGAACTTTAGAGACCAGGATTACAGCACCAGTCTTTACACGGTTTACTGGTTTTATTACTGTATAAGCAGCATTTTATACAACACTTTAGACTGACTGCTTAACAAGATTGAAATGAATTTAGAGAAAAAAAAACTGACAGCAGTGATGTTGGCTTTTAAAAAAATCTCTATCAAAGCTGATCTTCCAGTTTCAGTGTTCTGAGGAAGTTCAGAGGGAGAGGATGGAGGACAGTAGAGATCCCAGCATGATGAGCAGACTCAGATTAACGCTTAAAGCAGCCGGTTACACAGGCTCCCCCTACAGCACTTAATATGTGCCTTCATGTTAAAGTTTTGTACAATAGACACGAGATCCTGACAGAGGCTCTTGCTTGCACATCCTTTCAGAGACGCCCTAAAAGAAAATGGAACAACTGAGAGAGAGAGAGAGAGAGAGAGAGAGAGAGAGAATGTTTAACATTTACAGTAACATTTCAATAAACAATATTTAAGTACAGATCGGGGTCCTCAGATGTCACATGTTGAAATATTATATATCATAATGCTGAGCTGGTTCTTGATTTGTTTCACTTGGCTAAAAACCATAATACTTATTGTTTCATTAGTCTGTCCTAATTTTTTGTTTGTTTATTTATTTATTTATTTATTTAACATTTTGTAGACGACTAGTCAAATGTAAATACAAAAACCAAAACATTTTGATTAATATGATAAGAAATACTAGTATTAGTCTGCAGCCTCTTTCCTTTGACCTATTAGTGGCTTAGACTGTCTTGGATATTTTTAATCAATTAAATTAAATATTATTTTCCTCTTACTTATCAGATTAACTAGGACACTCTTGGCTTGGTGAAACGTTTTGACTTTTTTTTTGAGCTGCTAGCAAACAATAAGGGGTGAAATGGAAGGAGTTATAATATATTTAGTAATATATGTATCTCCTATATTGAATTTAAAAGATTTTCTGTTAAATATTTACAGTTGAAATATTAACATTTACCATGAGTTTAATTTTCCAATATAAAAATCTTCAAAAAATGCTGTCGTATGTTTTCATGTCATTACTGAAACATGTTTAACATGAAATTCTGATTTTGAACAAATCTGAATACAGAAGAAAGAAAGGCATAATCCACCCAAGCTCCTCCCCCCAAAACAGGTGGAACAGCAGCTCAAGGCTACTGTGAAGAAAGGGTTGGACCTGCTGTCTGTATTTCTTCACCTGTTCCTTTAATGCAGTGATCTTCATCTCCCTCACAGTTCACGGTTTCTGAGCAGTTGTCATTGGCACAACACTTCTTCCCATTGGGAGGCTGTTTCGGTAAAGCTTAAAGCAAATAAACAAGTCAATAAAACGAGGCTAAGATTCCACAAAACATTTGCCCATTATGGTTATGTGGTAACTTGGTAATGATGGCAGGAGAAACTACTGTAGACTTTTTTTACTAACTAATTAAACAAATAGTTCAGTGAAAAATGTACACTTTAGAATCAGACTGGGTTTAAAATGAGTTTATTAATGTTATCAATTAGTTAATATGAGAAAAAGCTGACAAGTTAAACACTGACTGAAAAAGACAAAGTAACATCAGAAACCAGCAACATCTGAGCTTTTCACAGCATAGATGAATGTGTGTTTACTGTTAGGCAAACAACAAGTCAGTGCTTCCCTTTGTATTTATGTGTTGTAACTGCTTCTTAATGATTTTTTAAGGTGTGTATAAATTGATTAATAACTATTAATTAACTAATTTAAACCATTAAACTGTTTATAAGGGTAGTCGTATTATAAAGGGGTACCTTTTTTCATATATACAGATAATGTAATATATCAGAAAAAGATCAAATGAATATGCTAAAAAAGTTAAAATAGATGACCCATTACAGTAAATTCATTTAACTTTAACATGTTCAATCTTTCTTGCTTTAAAGGAAAAAAAAAATGTTTATTCTGTGCTGGTCCTATGATGGATTGTCCGTTGTGAACAAAATAACTTCATAACTTTTTTTTATGGATGGTCAACACCTGCGAGGTGAGAATCAGTTGTGATTGGCCTATTTACATACATTCAATCAGCTGTGTCTCTTTTTGGCTATGGCTTTTGTTTATAAGTCACATGACTGGTATAGACCAATAGTGGGTAACATCTTTGCTCTCCACGCTGCACATAACATAGCAGCCTATATTATACCAACAAGAGTCCTACCTTTGTCAGAGTGTAGGATGTTAACATTAATGATCTCTCATATTGTAGAAGCTACTGATTGTACCTGGCAGTGCTTTGTCATTGCAGAGGTCAGTCTTGCAGCATTTGGAGTTGAAGGACGCTTTCAGAAACCCCGTGTTTATTCTCCCTTTAGCACAAAAGGCTGAAGGCAGGCAAGCCCTCACCCTGTGTTCGAACTGTATGCCACCTGCAGATGAACACATGACTTAGCGGACATCAGTTTTGCATCTTTTAAGAGTTTTAATCTGAGTTAAGTCATTCTTACCCAGGCTAAAGGTGGCAGCGACGCTGTTACAGACATCGGCTGGACATTCCAAAGTTCTATTACAAGTCTCAGGAAAATGCGCCATGCAGTCGTAACACTGCAGTGCTAGTGCTAGAGGACAAGGAGAATCCAGTGTGAAAAATAAAGACCTGACCACACAGAGAAACGGTCAAAATGGTTTACATTAAAAATGCCAGTTCTCACCAAAACAACAGTAAAGGGGAATTTCAGTAAAGTGCATAATTCAGTGGTTGATGAAAATCAAAAGTCATTCAGAGTGAATTGGTATGAAATGCTCTGCTCTAGAAAAACTGAGTCAGAATCAGAGTTACTTATATGTTACCTGATGTCTGAAACATTGTTTACAATATGATATGATAAACATGTAGAACATTATAAGGCAAAACAGTCCCCAAATGAAACTTTCTGTGATCATCAACATAATTACATGTTGTATAGGTTCAGTGGTGGTTTTAGACAGTACATAAAATGGCTATATTTGTGTTATAGACATGGTGACCTCTGGTTCCTATCACCACCACTGTGTCTCTACAATTCATAATTTCTCATGAGACCATTCTGAACAACTTTGTTTACATCTCAACCACTGAATTATGCAGAAATTCTGCTAAATCATTTCATTTAATCTACCAAGTTGACTGAAATGACAGTACTGAGTGTAATGTGAGGGTATAAATTTGGTTCTCTGTACCTTTAGTGAAGAACACACTGACGAGCACCAGAACCACTTTCATTTCTACCACTGGATGATCTGAGACGTTGGTGTAAAAACAAGGAAGAACGTGGCCTCATATAGGACTCTAAAAGGGGGTGGGCTTCCAGGAAGCTCTTCCTTCTTCAAGTCTCAGCCACTGTTAAACCCACCCAGACCCCCTGATGAAAACTAAATCTAACATTTTGAAACAGTTGTCACTTTTTATTGGCAGAAGAATAATAATAAACTATAACTACTTTCATCTGCATTTAGTCTTTCACTGTTATGCTTAAAATAATTTAACATTCTAATTTTCTTTTTTAAGCTAGAACCAATTAGTTTTCCTCTCCTGTTTGATCATTTTCCTGGTAAAATGAACAGTCTTCACTGCAGAAGTTCTCAGTACATCAGTAAAAACATCTGTAAAACATCTTACAGCTTTCATCCCATAGACTTCCATTCATAGTTCAAGCCCATCTTGTTCAAAGAAATTGACCTTAAGTGATTTACAGGTTTGAATTTTATAAAATACTGTTTGAACACATTCATTTTGCTTTGAATTTTTGATTGAAAGCATACATTTGACAAACTAAATTGCCAGGCTGAACTGACCAAGCAAACCAAAACAAATTTCAGGCTGAAACAGCCGTTAAGTACACTTCATTCATTTTTCTGAGAAATCTATCAGAGAAATCCAAAGAAATCTGCAGGGATGTTTATTTTTTTCACAGCTCTAAAGTTTCAGTCTCAGAAGTTGGTTGCATTTTCTCCTTCTCATAATCCAACACTGGAGAAATGGTTTGGCTGTTCAACCTAAAAAACACTTCTTGTACTAAACAAGCTATTGAACTGGTTTTATTCAATACAAAGAATCACTCATTCAAAGCATTTAACAATCTAATCATTTAGATTTTAGTAAATAAAACTAGTTCAGTTGTTTGTTACCACATGAAGTATTTTTTTTTTATGTTAAACTGGGAAAGCATTTTACACAATTAAATAATCCCATTTACACATTAAAGCACCAGCCCATAAAATCTGGCTCCTAAAACAGCCGTTTTCTTGATTTCCTGTTCTGTTGAGATGTAGTAACACTCTTACTGTTATAAAGTGTCCAAACAGAGTTTGTGCAAGTAAATAAAACGGCCCTTCTATTGCAGAAAGACAGGTTGTGTAGTCATGTGTTATGAGGGGGCAGGTGGCAAGATTAGAGTGAGCAATGTAGCTCTGTGGGGGGAAAATATATTTGTTATATTAATATTTTAACAGTGTTTTCAGAAGACTTACTTGACTTACTGTAAGGAGTAATAAAGACAAATGTAATGTTTTCTACAATTTATGCAACAACAATATAAAATAGTACAATTATTATACAATTATAATACAACATATAAAAAAAAAAATCCAGCAGCAGAAAAAGTGTATACTCTTAACTACTATGCTATACCTTTTTAGGAGATGTTTGGCAAATTACTATAAAAATAATGTATTTGTTAGTTGTTTAGAAATTATTCATGAGCAAGTTATTAATAACATAATATAATATATTGCTGAAATGTATTGCACAATTGGAAGCATGAATTCTCTACACATTTGTCGTGTTAAAAGTACCATGAAATATAACAAATATGAGCCCATTCTACCAAACTGCAGTCTCAGGCACTGTTAAGAAGTCTCTGTGCAGGTACATTATTCGTTCTTCAAGGTGCAAACAATGTAAATGTGCCCTCAAAGGTACAACAGCGTTTTCCAGGTGAAAAGTACATATTTGTATCTTTTCATAACCTACTGTTCTAAAACAGAACAGTAAAATAAAAGCCTGAAGACAAGACGGGGTGTGTGGAGTCAGTACAATTTAGGAAATATAATTTCAATGGAATATGGTACAAATATGTTCCCTGAATAAAGGTACTGAGATACGTCCTTGAGGGTACCACCCCAGTGAGAAGAGGGGTCCTGCCCCAGCGACAGTTTACTACCCTTTATTAATGAGAGTGTGAATATGTCTGATTAGGGCACACCTGCTTCACTTTAAATGAGTTTACATTCACTTCTCTCAACAGTAGAGGGCACTGTGGAGTCAGAGGGCTTAAAAGGCATTTTATTTATGTATTTACGGGACATAGAAAGCATCTCACACAGTTTACTATATTGAACTAAAACTTAATGACCAGGATAACAAAACTACCAGTCTTTACAAAATGTACATGTTTTATTATAATAGCATTTTAGATTGATTGCTTAACAAGATTGAAGGTCTAAATTTAGAAATAAAGAACAAAACAAAGCAAAACAAAAAAAGTGAAACATACTGGACAGCGGTGGTGATGTTGACTTCTCTACTAAAAGCTGATGTCTTAGTTTTGGTATTTCCTAAAAGGAGCTTAAACTAGTTCCGATGAAGTTCAGAGGAAGAGGATGGAGAAGAGTAGAGACCCCAACATGATGAGGAGACCCAGATTCATGCTGATAGCAGTGTTGCACAGGTTCCCCTCACAGCACTTAATATCCGCAGTCAAATTAGAGTGTCGTAGAATGGATGCGAGCCCATCACAGATACTCTTGCTGGCACATCCTTTCACAGATGCCTTAACAACAAAGGAAACAACTGAGAGAGAGAGAGGGGGGGGGGCATGTTTAAATTCAGTAACATTTCAATAAACAGTATTAAAGTATTTGTGTGTGTTATTATGTATGTATGTTATTTATTCATTCATTTATTTATTCCGTTTAACCATTGTGTGAAAAGTTTTTTAGGCGACTAGTCAAATGTAAACATTTTGATGAATTTGATAAGAAATACTAGTATTAGTCTGTAGCCTCTTTCTGCTGACCCACTAGTGGCTTAGATTGTCCTGGATATTTTTAATCAATTTAATCAAAATAAATATTGTTTCCCCTCTTACTTTGTTGTCAGGTAATCTAGGACACTGTTGGCTCTCTGTGTCTGAAATACTGTGACTTTGTGTTGAGGCGTGAGCAAAAAATGAGGGGTGAAAGTGGAGGAGCCCCCACAGACCCTCACTGTAATAAATAAATAAATAAATAAATAAATACTAATAATAATAATAATAGGATTGTGTAATGATCCAATGAAAATCCAAGGCATTAATTGAGGTGGAAAGAAGCTAAATATATACAAAATTGTCATTTATAGGGGACTTTGTATTGGGAGGTGCCTGTTTTTTGTCTTTTTTGCTTACTTTTTTTGGGGGGGGTTCTTTTTCACATCTCGTTTATTTCTCTTTTCTAAGTGAAGTTGAAAAATTAAGATTATTATGTGTTTAATTAAAAAAAAATAAGCACCTCTAAAAATGCTGTCTGACAATTTCACTACTGACACACACAAAGAATTTCAGGTAGTGTTTTAGCCACACCCTGCATGTTAGAGCAGGAATTGAGTCTGCATCCCTGTCCCTCATTGCCACATGGTGAGCAGTTAGATACCACTGACTTGAAGTAAATGTGTGCTGAAGTCTGAAAATCAATGTGTAATGTTGGGAATTGTCACTACTTAAACACACATTTTGTTTATGAGTAAACTTTTGTTGTATTTTAAGAAAAATATTTTGTGAAAAATATTCACTAGCATTTTTTAGAGTTTTGCTCAAAATGAGTTAAAATTGTCACTACCAAAACACTCACAACCAAAACATTTGGTAAAATTTGGGAGTGTTAAGATTATTTAAGAACATAATTAAGGCATATGTTTACTGTATGTGCTTTCAACTTTTATATACATCAATTATTTTTGTAAATCACAGATTTCCATCATCTAAATCTATTCTATCATCACTATTTAAGAAAAAAAGGCACAGTTCGACTGAGTGATCTCCTCCAAAACAGGTAGAAAAAACTATTTAAGGCTACTGTGAAGAAAGGGTTGAACGTGCTGTCTGTATTTCTTCACCTGTTCCTTTAATACAGTGATCCTCATCTCCCTCGCAGGTCACGGTTTCTGAGCAGTCATCATTGGCACAACACTTCTTCCCATTGGGAGGCTGTTTTGGTAAAGCTTAAAGCAAATAAACAAGTCAATAAAACGAGGTGGTAACTTGGTTATGATGGCAGTAGAACTACTGTAGACTTTTTTGCCAACTGCTTCATCAAACAGTTTGGTGAAAAATTAAACGTACACAATTTTCCTTCCCAAGTTTAGTTGATCGGCCAAGATACATTTGGTGTTTGATTTTTGATAATACAGTATATTCAAATGATCAAATGAATAATGCTAAAAAAACAGATGACCCAGTACAGTAAATACATTAAGCTTTAACATGTATAGTCTTTCTAGTGTTAATATTTTACAGTAATTTGCAGTTACAGCAGTAAATTACAGCAGTTGCTTATTGTATGCTGGTCCCATAATGGATTGTCCATTGTGAAAACCTTTAGAAGTGACCCTGTAATGACGTGGAGGAGTCAGAGAACCGGGACGAGCTGATTGAGCCTGATCAGGTGCAGCTGTGCACGCTCTACTTAAGCTCACCGCTCAGTCTTGAGTTCATGTTTCCATGTGCATATGTCTCTGCTGAGCTGGTAAACTCTTTTAAATTTGAATGTACATCCATCATTTAGCATTTTTAACTTGATAGAAATGTTCAGGCAAGCCAACTCAAAATTTCTTTACAAACTTTACTTTCTAGATATTACTGTTGCTCTTATTTTCCATTCTTAATGTATAAATTCACATTTCTGAAGTGGTCTCATTATGAAAATATAATAAAATAATAATTATGATCATATTTATAAGGTAAAATGTTTAAGTTGAAATTTTCAACAATGATTTTATAAGTATTTTATTAAACTTTTTTGAACCATGTAACATTTGAATGTTGTTTCTACATTTTTTCAACATTAAAACTAACAGTATTTTAACCACATTTCAATGCTGAAGGTCGGTCAGGTGCCAAGTGAGATGTTGCAGGTCAGGTATGTACCAAAAGAGTGCCAGAGGAATTCACGAGTTTGTTCGTGCTGAGTGCCAGCTCATGACATTTGGCCCATGTCTGGCCCATACAACATGTGCCGAAACCCAAGTCTAGCCAGGCTCATAACATTTGGCCCACGTCTGGCTCACACAATGGATACCTTTACCCAAGTCAAGCCTGGGTCATGATACTGGCCCACATCTGGCCCACACAACAAGTGCCAAAACCCAAGTCTAGCCCGACTCATGACATTTTGGGCCATGTCTGGCCCACACAACAGATGCTGCAACCCAAGTCAAGCCCGGCTCATGACATTTGGCCCATGTTGTGTTTTGGCCACACAATGCTTGCCAGTGCCATAACTGAGCCGTAAGTTCCCAAAGTGGCACGGATTAGGCCCAAATGTGCCTGCTATCTGGGATGTCTTGACTGATTGACTGCTTTTGAGTTAAGGGGGACAACTGCGTGTGTAAGATTTTGTTTTTTTGTTGTTGCAAAATTAATATTAATGATCTCTTTTATTTTAGAAGCTACTGATTGTACCTGGCACTGCTTTGTCATTGCAGAGATCAGTCTTGCAGCATTTGGAGTTGATGGTTGCTTTCAGAAACCCTGTGTTTATTCTCCCTGTGACACAAAAGACTGACGGCAGGCAAGTCCTCACACTCTGTTCCATCTGTACGCCACCTGCAGAGGAACACATGACTTAGTGGATATCAGTTTTGTTTCAGTTTGGTATTATATTCTATGTTAAAAGTCACTCTTACCCAGGCTTAAGGTGGAGCTGACGCTGTTACACTCACTTGAACATTCCACACTATTGCAAATCTGAGGTAAATGTGTTACGCATTGGTGACATTGCAGTGCTAGTGCTAGAGGACAATGAGAATTCAATGTGAAAATAAAGATCTGATCACACAGGAAAATTCATTAGAAATGCAAGCCTTGACCCAAACAATATTAAAGGGAAATTCCCAGAATTTTTCAAAATGTCTGCATAATTCAGTGGTTAAGATGTAAGCAAAGTCATTCAGAGTGGTTTGGTGTGAAATGTTCTGTTCTAGAGAAACCGAGACAGAATTGTTTACAGTGGTGGTGATAGGAACCAGACGTCTGAAGTTTAATTCCTCAAAACTCCTTAACAGAAATTTATTGCACATATATATTTTGCCTGATGTCTGAAACATTGTTTACAATAGTCTTGAGATAGAATTTTGGTCTAAAATGTTCTTTTGAAACATATTCATGGCGGAGAGGCACATGCAGGAAGTTCTAAGGCAAAATAGTCCTTAAGTTAAACTTTTTTTTTTTTTTTCAGACTTACCATTTTCTACAATCATCAACATTACATATAAAACTCAGACATGTGTAGATTCACTGGTGGTTTTGGATAGTAAATAAAATGGCTAAATTGGTGTTGTAGTCATGGTGACCCCGGGTTCCTATCACCACCACTGTGAAGAACTGAGTCAGTAAGCGATTTCTCATCAGACCACTCGGAACGACTTCTCAACCACTGAATTTTGAAACAATTCTGAAAAACAATTTCCTTTTAATCTAAGTTTAACTGAAATGAATGACAGTACTGAGTGTAATGTGAGGGTGTAAATTTCTCTGTACCTTTAGTGAAGAACACACTGACGAGCACCAGAGCAACTTTCATTTTCTACCACTGGATGGATCTGAGACGTTGGTGTAAAAACAAGGAAGAACAAAATCTCATATAAGACTCTAAAAGGGGGTGGGCGTCCAGGAAAGTCTTACTTCTTTAAGCCTAAGACATTGTGAAACACCCCCCACATGAACTACTATCATCTGCATTCAGTCTTTCATTGATCTGCTTAAAATCCTCTATGTTTATGTAGATTCTACAGGGACCATAGCCTTCCATTCATAATTCATGCCCCTCTTGCTCAAAGAAATTTATGTGAAGTAATTTAGAAGTTTGAATTATTGAAAATACTGCTTTAAACACATCTAATTTTATACTAAAGTATAAAATTGACTAATTAAATTCCTTACTCCCACGTCATGTATTTTCTAGGTTGAACTGACAAACCATTCTTTACAGTGTAAAGTTTATAAGCTGGGAAAAAAAGTGTTAATAAATAGTGTTTTTTAAATAGTGTCTTAAAATAGTGTTTTCTGTAATGCAGCCCCTGGATGTATGTATCATGTATGATATTGGCCCGTCGCATTCTTTACATTATGTCGAAGTTTATTTATATAATGCTTTTTTTACAGCAGGCAATGTCACAATGCAGCTTTACAGAAAATCAGAGCCCAAGCCTCCATGAACGTCACCAATGGCAACAGTGAAAAGAAAAACTCCCTAAGAGCAAGAGGAAGAAACCTTGAGAGGAACCAAGACTCAAAGGGGAACCTATCCTCCTCTGCTGGACACCAGATGGCAAATAAATAAATAAAAAATTAAATAATTGAATAAATATAGATAGATAGATAGATGGATAGACAGAGAGAGGGGAACGTGGGGAACAATCTAACGTGGGTCACAAAACTGGCCACATTACCACATTTCTTAGCCACAGTGTCCTGCCAAAATGCAGAACTGTGCTGAAGCCTTTGATAGTTTCACTTCTGGTTTTAATTTTGCCGGCCTCTCATTCACCAGCCCCACCATCATGCCTTGCCACGTTGACCCTGCTGCTGAGCCTCCTCACGTCAACTCCGTCATTGGGCCCTATGGCGTCTGCTCTGGCCTCCAGTCTTGGAGCCTCCCCGAGTCGTCCTTATCATTAGGTCTCTCACCAGGTTCTGCTCTTTTCGCCATCTGCTTTTGAGTTTGGAGTAGCGCCATTCTCCTCCAGGCCACTGGGTGGTGCTTTCTTACTTCTGACACCACTGTAATGTTGGCATAGGAAAAGAGGATGCAGGAAACGTATCACTTTGAGTGTCCTTTTATTTACAAGAAGCCTTTTTATTTACATGCAGCAGTGCTCCTGAATGGCTGTGAAGCAGGGCAGTTCACCTCCAGCTACACACATCCAGTTGGTGATAACCAAGCATACCCAACCAGCCCCATAGTCCGGCACCGAACATCAGAAACAACACATCTACATCCAACCCAAGCCCGCAGCAACAAAGATTTACATGGTTTAAGTCTCTCACTGCTGCTACGGCGGTACCTTCATGCTCACTGCTCCACATGCCCATGCCTTCTGTACATCCCTGGCCGAACAAGGCGGTAGCGGGATGCTACAGTATTGCACTGAAAGATGCTTATTAACAGCGCACATAAAGAGCATAAACATACATAATGCAAAAAAAATAAAAATAAATAAATAAAATAAACATGACATACACTCTGAAGAAAATAAAGTTCTTTAAGGGTACTTTAGTAAAGACGATGGTTCTACATAGAGCCATGCACACTTTTGATTAAAGGAGAACTTTTTGACTAGACTGAGCTTAGAAGATGACTGATCTGACTGTTAAGTCAACAGTGCAGTAGATGTTCAATGTTTTCTTATATATATATATATATATATATATATATATATATATATATATATATATATATATATATATTAGGTAGTTTGTCATGCATAACATCTCTACTCTCATTTTGGCTAAGGGCTGTAGTCACCTAAGCAGCTCTGCCCTCTGCTGCTAGCTTTACTGTTCTTGTGTGTGCATGTGGTCTAAGACATGCACTGTGTCAAAAAGGTTTGTAGATGCCTGATCATCCACTGTTTCTTCTGAAATCAAGGGTGAGTTTGTTTCTTTGCTGCAATAACAGTATCTACTCTTTAAGCAGTCAGCAACAGGTAACTTTCCCAAGAGTCTTCTTCACTCTCTCTCTCTCTCTCTCTCTCTCTCTCTCTCTCTCTCTCTCTCTCTTGCTCTTTTTCTCAGCAGTATCATGAAAAATGAGCACCTTCACACTTCTTAAAGGCATATGGAGCCTATCGCCACACAAAACATTCAACATTATAGCCCCACACAACAAACAGAACATTTTACCTTTATTGACCATATTTCTTAAAACGAGCTGCTTCTACCACTGACTGGATGAGTTATCCATCCAATGGCGTAGGTGTGGTCTCAGCATTGGTAGGGACACAACAACCCACCTCCTAGCTCCCACATCCCCCCATGCCCCCCAGGGGATATATACATTGCAAAACATCTAATGCAAATCCAATAATAAATTCATGTTTTATGTGCAGTATTATTGACCTGAAGCCCTGAAGGTCCTGCTGCTCCTCCCTCAATTTGCCCTACAGCATCTTTACTTGATCTGAGTTTCCTAATAAAATGATGCATAAATGAATAAGATACATATAAACATGTGGTAAAACTTATGGTCCCATTTATTTTTGATTTACTGTTGAGTCCTGTGTGCAGTCCAAGATAACTGCTGATACTCTAAAGCTCTAAAGCAAAGTCTTTTGTGGTACAGATAACTTTAGAAGTATCAAGTTCAGCTCAGCCTTTTAAACTGTTGCCAAATTAACATGAATGTCATTTTGTAAGAGCCAGTCTGTAAAGCGCTTTGTAGCCCTTCTTGTTTGCTGTATTGTATTCTGTTCATTTCTAGCCAATTCCAGCGTGTTCAGCTGCTCTGCTGTCACTGCAATGGACCTAACAGTTTCCATGGTAAAGGCAGATTCAGAATCTGATGTGCGTCCGGAGTCACAGTCTTCTTCAGAGTCTGGCCAAAACGGGCTGCAGGTCATATGTTGTCTTAGAATCATACATTTTTTTCAATTTCTTGTTTTGTATAAGCACAAATACAAACAACTAAGGTTTGTGTGCATAAAGCTTGTCGTTACTTGGCAACATGTCAGCAGAGTGATACAGTTTTGGTTTCTCTTGCTCTTTCTCACTTGTTGCCTCTCTCTTCCTCTGTTTGTCTCATATGTGTCCTGCCCTGTTTGGTTCCTATCTCTTTTATAGGTTGGTCAAGGTGTCATTCGTTATTAGAGGCTTGATGTCTGCCATTCAATGACCAATCATCACACAGAGTTCCGGGATGGGAAGAGGGACCTGAGCTTTAAAAGCAGCCTGGAAAAGCTTGTCAGGGGGGCCTGCGTTCTTCCTGTGCTCATAGCTGTGCAGGGTGCTGCTGGTCTTTGTTGTTTATAGATGCGACACCTCAGCTTTCTACTCTTTCACTCGTAGCTTTTGTATATTGCTGATTCTAGTATCTGTGCTAGTTTTGTCACACCAGTTTGGTAATTTGCCTTAACCGTGTCAGCTTTGTGCCTTTTTGTTAAATCATACTAGCTTTATTGCTTTGCTGCTTTCTTATACACTGCGGTGCTTTCTTGGGGTTCTGGACAGGCTGGCTGGGCATGCTCATACATTTTACACCGCATAGTAGCCCAGTGTATAGACACATTAGCTAAGGGGGGGCACCATGCTTTGTATTATATATTATTTGATATAGATAAGATCAGACTTTTTTCTTTTTGTTTGCTTTGATGATTTTTCTTTTAGTACTGTCCAGGTCAAGAATCTCTTTCCCTTAAGCTGGAGGTATAACTGTCATTTTGTACATATTGTAAATATTGTAAATATAGTGTAAATAATCAGATTCTTAGAGGTCTCACTGTGGTCCCAGCATGGTTTTAACATTACCATAGCATGTATTAAATGGGGAAAAACAGAAACCTTGTTCTTGTTCCTTCCTGCTTCGTTTTACACACTTCACATTTTAAATCATATGTTAAGCCTTCACTAGTCTGTAACTACTAACAGTCCAATGTTAGTTTTTTTTTTTCAAATGATCATTTAAAAGTGAGCTACAGCTCTACAGAGTCACTTGATGTAACAGAATTAATAGTTATAATTCTAAAATGATTCTTTTGGCATCAGTGTTTAAATGAAACTATGTAATTACATGATTATTACATTGTTATTTAATGATGTGTGTTCTGTATCAACAGCATTGAGTCAACATTTATGACTCTTGTGTTTGTTTTAATGACAGGAATCAACACAGACATGGCAAACATGTAACATGCTTTTATCTAATTCAAATCATAATCAAATACAAACACAATGTTACTATTTTCTGTTAAAAGTGAAAAAGAAGAAAATATAATACAAATTTTCTGTATGAAAGATTTGAAGCTGTACTGAACCTTTCACCATTGTCACGTGCGTGACTGTTGCAAAACTGATATTCAAAGTCACACATGAAAAGTTTGGAAACTAAAGGTTTAGGTAAGGTCAGATCACTCACTGACTCGAGAAGGCGCTCTACACCTTACAGACTGTCGGTCACAACTAACCACTCCAAACTTCTGTAATATTTAAAAAATGCTTATAGGCAGGCTGTACAGTTTTTATGGGCAATCCAACACAGCTTCAAGGCAGGCAGAGGTCAACACACGGGCAGGCAGGTACATACAAGGCAAATCCATGATCACAAAAACAGAAAACGAAGCAATGATCAAACGCAGGAAACACCACACAAAGAACACAGCTCAGCACTTTGAAAAGTCTGAAACCAAACACCCATTTTTGAACATATTCAAATACACCCATGACCACATTCATGAGCATATTCAAATACGGAAACTCCTGACTGGATGCTCCAGCAATTCACACAGCCCTGAATTTGAATGTAGCCAACATATGATGATAATATCTGTAGCCTGTTTGTTAGGCAAAGTTTCCTTTTTTACTTTAGGGTACAGAGTCAGTTGGCAAAGACTGCAGAAAATCATTTCTTCCACAATGCAAATGTTTGTGGGAACATGGTTTGGTTTATCGTTTTGCCTGGAGCACATGCCAGCTTTGATAGCAATGATGCAAATCACTGAATGAAATGAAAATGCTCTGCTTGAAATATCTAATGCTGTGTTAGGGAATACTACATACCAGCATAGGCAATACATTGACCCTACTGAACCCAGCATCTCAATAGCAAGCCATTCTAAGAAACTGTGATGGCCACTTAAACTGGTTTCAATCTGCCACCAGAGGACTTGCAGTGTATGCATGTCCACTTTGGCCAGAGCAAAACATCAATCCATAGAATTTACACTATGTAAAATTTGAGAGTGGCTTCATTTATTGTTGGATGCCAAGTGATGTTTTTCTGAGTGCACAACTTGGATTGGAAAGCACTTCTTTATTGTTTAATAATTTTTGCGTTGGCCTTAAATAGTTTATAGGTTTGCCTGGAACTACTACATCTGCCTTTCTGTGTCTATTCTGCCATCTATCAACGAAAAGCCCTGAGTGCATGACCGAGATTGTGAGCATTAAAACTCCCTCTGGCTAAAAGGTTGTTTCAACTGGTTTTCTCAGAAACTATTTCCATACTGATCAGTAGCGTCTGAACCCCCTCAAATTTGTTTCCAACCATAAAATGCTATATAAGGCTGGAGTTCTGCACACTCTTCCTAGACTTACAGTCTCGTCTCCATCTGCGCTGACTTCAAAGTCACGATGAGCAAGATTATTGTTTTCGAGAACCCCAACTTTGGGGGCAGGAGTAAAGAGTTCACCTCTTCTGTTCCCAACTTAATAAAGGAGAACTTCAATGACTGCATCTCCTCTCTGAGGGTGATCGGGAATCCATGGTTGGCGTATTCAGACGTCAATTATAGAGGTTCTCAGTTTGTCTATGAGGAGGGCGATTATGCCACCATGGAGTGTAATGACAGCTTTTCTTCACTAGAGATGGTGACGGAGGACCTGACGAACCCTCAGATCACACTTTATGAAGATGTTAACTATGGAGGCAGGTCCATCGTTCTCACCGGTGAAACCAATCTGGTCCACATCTCTTTCCAAGATGTGGCGTCTTCACACAAGGTGCAGAAAGGAGTGTGGGTCCTTTATGAAGAAAGTAACAGACGTGGAGCTCAGATGGTGGCCAGGGCTTCTCGTGATCTTCCTGATTATGGCTCGTTCAACAAGAAAGCGTCTCATGTGCGCCCTCTGATGCCTGGCATACGCTCGATAAAAGCAGAGATCAACTGGAAAAAGAAAGAAGAACGTGTCAGACCTGTTACGATCGACTCCATATGTGGTCTAAACCAAGGAGAGCAGGAGAAAAGCTTCTCCAATGAGCTGATTAAAGAGTACGAAGGCTTCATCACTGACAGCTTCAGCTTTAGCAGTCCTACACAAATCCCCTGGGGAATGTCCTTCAGTGTAGATGTAGGAGCAATGAAAGCAGACAAGAACTTCTCTTTGAGTGAAACCTTCACTGTGGAGAAAGGCAGCAGCAACACCAGAACCGAGAAGAAGAGTATCCGAGTCTCCCTGCCCACCAAAATAGCTCCCCACACCAAGCTGACTGTGAACGTGGTGAGGAAAGAAGTGAACACGAAGGCCCTAGTCATGCTCACCATCATGAGAGGTTCCCAAGCCATCGTGGAGTTTGGAGAGTACAGGTGTCAATCTGGCATCTCTATCACCACCGAGTGCAAGGAGGAAAAAATCTAGTGTGCTGGTTGGTAAGATACAGTACATTCCTCTAAACATACAAACAAAAAGGGGTGCAAATTTGGTCTGACAAGTGAGATGGGGGGGCTATATTTAGCAATGCAAGCATTGCCGTGTGCCCTCCGTCCTCCCCTAATTATGCACTACTGCACTTAACGTGTAAATTTTCATTTGTCTGGTCAGTGCTCTGAACCTGGTTCCATTATGTCCAAGTTACGAGTTGTTATGAATCATTTATGACCAGTTCTTAATCATTTTGTCATCTGAGTGTGGACATCAAAACTCATGGCTTGCTTTTTTCTTATTTCTAGTGAATATAAGTGGTGCAGGACCCTTTACACTGTCGCAGTGGATGTCAAGAGTATCAACACACCCAGCTGAGAACTTAACTCCTTTTCTCAAAGTATCCTCCTGACTTTTAATTTCCCTAAATGTCCCAAGTGAAATTAAAGTCCAATTAAATAAAGAAAAATATTAATTTAATTGTCTCTTGTCTTTTTTGACACATGCATGTTACAATATCTCAATCTAACAGTAAATGGAAAAGGTCTTGAGATGCTTTTAAGAAAGTCCAATATGATACTGGATGATTGCATTTGAATAAGAAACAACCTGTATGGTGTTGCTCAGGTTCCACAGTTGTATTTTACATAATACAATTATACAAAATGTACTGATGCTTATTTAATTGCACAGAATTTATCAGAATTTATAAGTGTGTGTGTGTGTGTGTGTGTGTGTGTTTGGAGTGACACTTAACCTATGAGGTGGTAGACCTTTTAATTCTCCACTGCAGGCAGCCACATTCACCTGAGCCCTGCCCTTAGCCTATTCTGGTTAGTGATAGCTTTCCCTTTTCTTTTTGGGAGATTATATTTTTATGTAAGCTTAATTTTTTTTGGTTTGATGTTTAAGGTAGGACATACCATTCTGTGGAAGTTTTAAGTATTGAATAGGTACCATCACTGTGTGCCTCACAGGGTGCACACATACAGGGAGGGTAAGGTCATGCTGTTAGCCATTCTTCTGATATAGCAGAGCTGAAAAAAAAGATAAAGCAGCAGCAAGAACAGCTCAATCAGCTCACAGAGCATCTTTCAATTCTGCAAAATCCTCCAAAGTGCTCACAGTCTAATCGTAATGTAATTTGTAGGAGGTGTCAACAGCCATTGTGCGAGTTATTGTAATAATGACAGAGTGATTGCTTCAGCTACATATTCCCAGTTTCTGCCTACATAAAGAGTAGCTACTTCAGGCTGGCTGATGGAAAACTATTACCCTCAGATGTGCAGAACCACATTTCTGAGGAAGACCTCCCTTGTCAACAAACTGTTACACAACGGGTCATGCCCTCATAGGAGCATTAATATTGGGGATGTAAGTGTTAATTGCCTCCTCAAAATTGGGTCTGTGGTGTCCACTATTACAGAAAAGTCCTTCCTTCAGCATTTTATGGAGAGGCCCCATATTTGTGAGTTGTTACAGCTTTGAGCAGCAATGGTCTTAAAATAGCTTATGTTGACTATCTGGAACTTAATGTAAAAGTATTGGAGAGGGTGATCCCTAAGCATGGTATTTTAGTAGCAAAGGAGTCCTTTGGGTTGACATCTACAGATGAGTTTTAGGCATAAACTATTTGGACAGTATGGTCCTATGTTATTCAGCCTAACCCAGGTGCAGCAAGCTCCCATAGCTTTGCAGCAATCTCTAAAGTATTGTCAGAAAATAATACTTGCTACTCCCAGTGCTAAAGCTGGAGTTAGTAAGGTTAGGGATGGATACCCTGCATGTGTTCCTGGAGATAGTGGCCACAGCATGCTCTCAGCAGTTTATTACTCAAATGGTGCTCTCTTTGAACTGTTTTCTAAGGTTCACTCTCTTCTTTCAGGTATTTTAGTCTGGCAGTGGTTAGGGTGTCCTGAGGTACAGTTTATATTCCGGTGATGAATGTAGGGATTACAGAAGTTAAACTCTTTCCACACAGCAGAAATCTAAGTCAAGCACAGATTTTAAGCCTGAGGTTGTTACTGAAGTCCATAAGGAAACAGTCATTAAGAGTGTCAAAAAGAAAATGAAAACAGTCTTTTGTACATCATTTGGACTTTTTGAATTAAATCGTATGCCCTTTGGCCTCTGTAATGCACCAAGTATGTTTTGTTGGTTGACGGAGTGACTATTTGGTGCACAACACTTCCAGACGTTGTCGTTGTACCTTGACGATGTTGTAGTGTTTTCAATCACTGTAGATCAACACTTGGAGTGATTGGGTGGGGTGTTGGGCCAGTTACAGAAGTTGGAAAAATGTACCTTTTTAAACACAGAAGTGAAGTACTTGAGCCATGTTATATCAAAAGATGGAGTTGCCATGGGTCCCTAATAGAAGAAGCTCTATAGCAGCTACATCAAGGTCATGGGCTTTAAGATGTTGAGAGGACCACAGAATCGATTAGGCAGCAATGATACTGGTCTGGTGTGTACATAGAGATCAAGGAGTGGTATAAGCAATGTGAGTCATGTGCTGTGACTAAGCCAACACAACCAGCTGTTCAGGCATTTATGGTACTTAATGACCTAATGAAGTCCTGGCTCATTTTTAGAATGTTCTCATGATGGCTGAGAACAAGTGTTGATTATGACTGGTGTTTTCTCCAAATTCACACAGGTTGTCCCCACCAGAGATCAGTGGGCTCCAGCAGTGGCGAAGGAGTTTCACAAGTTCTGCATTATTTGGATCAGGGCTGTAATTTTGTAAGTGCCCTTATCCATCAGTTGTGTGCTCTTTATGGGGGGAAGAAGACTCACACAGCACCTTATCACCCTCAAAGTAATGGACAGTGTGAGAGGTTTAATAGAACTTTACATAACTTGCTACATGCTCTGCCTCCCCAGACAAAGTTGGAATGGCCAAGTTTCTCCCTCATCATCCAAGTCATTTTTCTACAATACCACCCTGCACCAGTCTACTGCTGAGTCCCCATATTACTTGATGTTTGGTCAAGAACAACAATTGCAAGAGAAGGCCTGCAGGCAGCCACCTGCTGTCGTAAGGGAAGGCACAACTGCAAGGTAATTGGTAGTTGATGGAGTGAAGAGGACTTCTGCATGATCAGAGTATTCAGGGCCGGAATAAAATTCAAGATGCGTGGAGTCCAGTTCTTTACAAGATGCGTGGAGTCCAGTTCTTTACAAGATCCTCAAAGCACCTCTAGAAGGAGATCAGGTATATTCTGGCATGTTCATTGTTTTCTGATGGAGAAATAAATAAATAAATGGATATTTTGTCATACATAATGTCCTACTCTCATTTTGGCTGAGGAGTGTAGTCACCTATGCAGCTCTGCCCTCTGCTGCTAGCTTTACTCTTCTTGTGTGTGTATGCAGTCTAAGACATATACTGTATGTCCAAAAGTTTGTAGACGCCTGATCATTCACTGTTTCTTCTGAAGTCAAGGGTGTTAATAGGGAGTTTGTCCCCGCTTTGCCACAGAAAGAACCTCTGTTCTTCCGAGAAGGTTTTACACTACATGTTAGAACATTGCTCTGAGGACTACAAGGTCATGTTGCAAGAGATGCTGCAAGAGTGTAACAGATTACACTCTAATGAGGAGGTCAGTATCAGATCATATAAGCAATAGAACCCAAGAAGGAGATCACAAATACAATTGAAAATATAGAATCAAAATAAATCAAAGAAGCCCTGAATTTCATACTGAAGATGCTTTAATACTGACAATACATTCCGCCAACAAATGAGCCGTTGCTATACAAAGCTTGTTATACACTATATTTCCACATGTATTTGCTCATCTGCCTTCACACGCATATGAACTTGAGTGACATCCCATTCTTAGTCCATAGGGTTTAATATGATGTCGCCCCACCCTTTGCGGCTATAACAGCTTCAACTCTTCTGGGAAGGCTTTCCACAAGGTTTAGGAGTGTGTTTATGAGAATTTTTGACCATTCTTCCAGAAGTGCATTTGTGAGGTCAGACACTGATGTTAGACAAGAAGGCCTGGCTCGCAGTCTCCGCTCTAATTCATCCCAAAGGTGTTCTATCGGGTTGAGGTCAGGACTCTGTGCAGGCCAGTCAAGTTCTTCCACACCAAACTCACTCATCCATGTCTTTATGGACCTTGCTTTTGGAACTTTTGGAAATATAGTGTATGTTATAAGCATCTGTGCTGTATCAACCCAAACACAGAGGTATATGTTGAATAGTTGTAATTAGTTTTGAGAATGAGCCACAGGTGTGTGTGTGTGTGTGTGTGTGTGTGTGTGTGTGTGTGTGTTTGTGAGTAGGAGGAGCCAGGGGCTGGACCCGGAGTGGACCAGTCCCAGGCGGGAAAGTCCATGTGGTGTCTCTTCATGTCTGAATGTTCGTCCTTCACTAAAAAAAAATGCCGCTGTGAACTACAAGATTAAAACATTTCAAGTGGTTGCATATAAATGGAATCTGCTTCCTCAGTGCAGCTCCTGCCAAAATAGCAAATTTAAAGGTAACAATTTCACTGATGTGACATTTTTCTTACGTGCAATGCACTTTTTTTTAGGATACTTGTGACTACAGCCCTTTTTCCCCTGAGCATATTCAAATAAGGAAACTCCTGACTGGATGTCCCCGCAATACTGAACCATGCTGTTTCCTTTTTTTTTTGCCTTAGCTTAACACTGATAGGGTGAAGTCTTGGTACAGTGTCAGATTGCAATGGCTGAAGAAAATATATTCTTCAGCCATGGGAAAGTTTAATAGAATGGTGTGATTTATCGTTTTGCCTGGAGCACCTGCCAGCTTTGATAACAAAGATACGAATGTGAGAATTTTACTGGAATGCCCCGGTTCTGAAATATAACGCTGTGTTATGGAAAACAACATAACAGGAGAAGCAACACATTAATTCTATGGAAGCCAACGTCTCAATGGGAAGAAATTCTGAGACTTTTTACGACACACATTGTCACAATGCAGATTTTCAGAAAAGCCAGGACCAAGCCCCAGTGACCAAGCCAAGGGTGACAGAGACAAGGAAAATTTCACTCAGAGCAAGAGGAAGGAACCTTGAGGGGAACCCATCCTCCTCTAGTCGACACTAGATAACAAAATAATAACACAACAATACCAATATAGTTAGAGAATGGGATTTTACCATGAATGTCCCCCACTGAAGAGAAAATAAATAAATAAATAAATGGATAAATGAGTAAACCAGCCTGTTACAGGACAGAAATTTAGATTGACCAGTGATAAATGATGACCACTTTTAGAGGCCTATCAGAATAACAATAAGAAACATATCTGTGAAAACCAGTCACTTTTACCAGTGAAAACCTGTGACTATCACAGTGACAAGAGTTAAATCCATAAACATCAGTGACTACTGTTAGAAGCCTTTAATGATGATCTGTATGTATAAACATGAAAAGTGATCTAGTTTGGTCTAAGACATATACTGTATGTCCAAAAGTTTGTAGACGCCTGATCATTCACTGTTTCCTCTGAAGTCAAGGGTGTTAATAGGGAGTTTGTCCCCGCTTTGCCACAGAAAGAACCTCTGTTCTTCCGAGAAGGTTTTACACTACATGTTGGAACATTGCTTTGAGGACTGCAAGGTCATGTTGCAAGAGATGCTGCAAGAGTGTAACAGATTACACTCTAATGAGGAGGTCAGTATCAGATCATATAAGCAATAGAACCCAAGAAGGAGATCGCAAATACAATTGAAAATATAGAATCAAAATAAATCAAAGAAGCCCTGAATTTCATACTGAAGATGCTTTAATACTGACAATACATTCCACCATAATGTAGTTCCACAACAAATGAGTCGTTGCTATGCAAAGGTTACAATTCCCCAGCTTGTTATATGTTATAAGCATTTGTGCTGTATCAAACACAGAGGTATATGTTGAGTAGTTGTAATCAGTCTTGAGAATGAGCCACAGGTGTGTGTGTGTGTGTGTGTTTGTGTGTGTGTGTGTGTGTGTGTGTGAGTAGGAGGAGCCAGGGGCTGGACCTGGAGTGGACCAGTCCCAGGTGGGAAAGTCCATGTGGTGTCTCTTCATGTCTGAATGTTCGTCCTTCACTAAAAAAATGGCACTTTGAACTACAAGATTAAAACATTTCAAGTGGTTGCATATAAATGGAATCTGCTTCCTCAGTGCAGCTCCTGCCAAAATAGCAAATTTAAAGGTAACAATTTCACTGATGTGACTTATTTTTCTTACGTGCAATGCACTTTTTTTTAGTATACTTGTGACTACAGCCCTTTTTACCCTGAGCATATTCAAATAAGGAAACTCCTGACTGGATGCCCCCGCAATACTGAACCATGATGTTTCCTTTTTTTTGCCTTAGCTTAACACTGATAGGGTGAAGTCTTGGTACAGTGTCAGATTGCAATGGCTGAGGAAATTATATATTCTTCAGCCATGGGAAAGTTTAATAGAATGGTGTGATTTATCGTTTTGCCTGGAGCACCTGCCAGCTTTGATAGCAAAGATACAAATCTGTCAATTTCATAAGAATGCTCTGGCTCTGAAATATAACGCTGTGTCATGGAATACATAACAGGAGAAGCAACGCATTAATGCTATGGAAGCCAACGTCTCAATGGCAAGAAATTCTGAGAAATTTTGTTGGCCTCAAACTTGTTCAAATCTACCACCAGAGGACTTGCAGCGTGTGCACGTCCACATTGGCCAGAGCAAAACATGATAGTTTGATAGTTTGTAGAATCCACCATGTTTTCCTTCATGGTATAAAAGATGCATGAAGCTTCAATGTGAAGTGTTTCAGGTGAGTGCAAAGGCTCATTCAAAAAAGCACAGCCCAGATTGTGTGACATTACTATTTCTACATTTACTTGTTTAAAAACTAAATTAAAATCTACAATTCTGGGCTGTTTAAATGCAGATAACAGCAGAGAAAAATTACGTTATTAACTTAAAAGAGCAGATTAAATAGCAAAAAAAAACCACAATTTTTGTGTTGGCTTCAAACAGTTAATGCTAGAAAGCTCCTTTAGTGTCTCCTTTCTGTGTCTTTTCTGTCATCTATCAGTGAAAAGCCCTGAGTGCATGACACAGATTGTGAGCATTAAATCTTCAGTGGGATGTGACTCCCTGTGGCTGAAAGCTTGTTTCAACAAGTTTTCTCAGAAACTGCTTTTTTAAATTCCATACAGATTAGTAGCACCTGCACGTCTCAAATTCCTTTCCTACCATGAAAGACTATATAAAGCAGAAGTTCTGCATGTTCGTCCCAGACTTACAGTCTCCATCTGTGCTGACTGGAGAGGCGACACCATGAACAAGATTATTGTTTATGAGAATGCCAACTTTCAGGGCTTGAGCAGAGAGTTCACCTCTTCTGTTCTCAACTTAGTAAAGGAGGACTTTAATGACTGCATCTCCTCTCTGAAGGTGATCGGGAATCCATGGGTGGTGTACTCAGACAGGGATTTCAGAGGTTCTCAGTTTGTCTATGAGGAGGGAGAATATCCCAGAGTGGAGTTCAATGACCAGATTTCTTCACTAGAGGTGGTGACGGAGGACCTGATGTACCCTCAGATCACACTTTACGAGCATGATAACTACAGAGGCAGGACCCTCGTCCTCACCACTGAAACCAACCTGCTCTACGGCTCTTTCCACGACCTGGCGTCTTCACACAAGGTGCAGAGGGGAGCCTGGGTCCTTTATGAGCACATTAACAGAGCGGGAGCTCAGATGGTGGCCAGGGCTTCTCGTGATGTTCCTAATTATGGCTGGTTCAATGACAGAGTGTCTCACGTGCGCCCTCTGAAGCCTGGCAAACCCATCATAAAGTCAGAGATCCTCTGGGACAAGAAAGAAGAACATGTCAAATCTGTTACGATCGACTCCATATGTGGTCTGAACAAAGGGGAACATGAGCAAAGCTTCTCCACTGAGCTGTTTAAAGAGTACACGGCCTCCGTCACTGACAGCTTCAGCTTTAGCAATGCAACCCAGATCACTTGGGGAACATCCTTCAGTGTAGATGTAGGCGTAATGAAAGGAGAGCAGAACTTCTCTTTCAGTAACACCTTCACTGTTGAGAAAGGCAGCAGCAACACCAGAACCGAGAGGAAGAGTATCCAAATCACCTTGCCCACCAAAATAGCCCCCCACACCAAGCTCACTGTGAACGTGTTGAGGAAAGAAGTGGATGTGAAGGTCCCAGTCAAGCTGACCATCCAGACAGGTTCCAACTCAAGTGTGGAGTTTGGAGAGTACAGGTGCCAATCTGGCAACTCCATCACCGCCGAGTTCAAGGAGGAAAAAATCTAATGCGCTGGTTGGTAAAATACAGTGATTCCTCTAAACATACAGATAAACAAAGGGGGGAGGAAGGGGGTTGATGTCAGAGGCTGTAATCAGCAATGCTGAACATATGATATATGTTATCCACAATAGAGAGTATTTACTTGTATGATAAATAAATGGGGAGGAGGCATTTCCCCCCTGTAATCTCCTATGTTTGTATCACTGTGATCAATGTATGTATTAAAATAGTATTAATTAATCTATAGCTAATGACCAATGCATAATCATTTTGTTATGAATAATAAGTGGAGATCAAAGCTCATGTCTTGCTGTCTTGTGTTTCCAGTGAATCTTACTGATGCTGAACACTGTCAGTGGCTCTCGAGGGTATCTGGCCATCCAGTTGAGAACTGATGTGACTGATGTTGAAATCTGAAGATTTACTTCTCTCCTCCAGAGCTTGAGACCCTTTACTGTCCCTAAATACTTCATCAACATTAATACTCAAAGCAAAACAATCATGGTTTCTTGTGATTTTGTCTTTTGGAACCAATAAACGAAAAATATCTAATCAAATAAATACAAAGTTCTAATAAACAAAACATGTCTTCTGTCTTCTTTGACATAAGCAAAAGGAAAAGGTACTAAGATACTTATAACACAATCCTACATGATAACTGTGTTTGATGAGAACTAGTTTCTAAAGTTTCATTTTACAGAATAAAATCACAGAGAATGTACTGATTTTTATAATAGCACAGAATTTAATGTACGCAGTTTAGAAAATAGCCACAAGCTTAATCAGAAGAGTGTGAGGCAGCACTTTACTTTATAGAGCAGTAGTAAGTTGTTAATTATATAGTAATATTATAGTTATAACCTAAAATTTACATGCTAATTTTCTAGATATAAATAAATAATATGTTCATAATTGTAGTAGAAACTAGTTGGTAATAAAATGGAAAACATTATGTTAAATAAAATTTGATTTTACCATTAAGAATTCCATTGGTATTTATTATAGTGAAAGAATATTTTATTGTATTATTTTTTATCTGTACACGGTATTTTAATCATTTCAGAAAACTAGGCAGTAAGTCATGTTAAGTATGACTCATTACTATAATATTATTACATCACTGCCCACTCGTTACTGATCTGTAATATTGTGTGTTCTCCTCTATTCTTCTCTCCTCTCTGTTCTCTACTCTCCTCTATTCTCCTCTCCTCCCTAGTTTTCTCCTCTCCTCCCCAGTTCTCTTCTCCTCTCCTTTATTCTCCTTTCCTCTCCTCTATTCTCCTCTTCTCCCCAGTTTTCTCTTCTTTTCTCCTATATTCTCCTCTCGTTTATTCTCTTCTCTTTCCCAGTTCTGTACTCCTCTCTTTTATTCTTCTTTTCCCTCCTCTATTCACCTCTCCACCCCAGTTCCCTCTTCTCCTCTTCTCCCCTCCCCAGTTCTCTCTTTCCCTCTCCTTTCCTCTATTCTCCTCCCTGGTTCTCTCCTCTATTCTTTTCTCCTGTATTCTCCTCTCCTCTCCTCTGTTTCTCCTCTTCTCCACAGTTCTCTCTTCTCCTCTCCTTTATTCTTCTCTCCTCTATTAACACCCCAGCCCCCACCCCCAGTTTTCTCAATGGCAGTGCAAAACAGCTGGGATGAAACATATGATATTTACCTTTTATGGTTCAGGGCCAGTTAAACCCCAGGGCTGGGAGGAACCCCTGGAATTTGTACTAAAACAAGTAGAGGCAGATCAGGACTCATCCTATACAGCTTAAACAGCAGTGAATGTAAAGGAGAGAACAGGGTCTTATCAGAACGCTTCAGTTGAACTTTACAGATCACATAATGTCAGCATTATATCTGCTCAATCAACATATCACCCCAATTATTTTTAATCATTGTAGGTTTTTATGATATTTCAGATATCACCCCCAAAACACTGAAGTAGTTCTGCTTAAATCATGTGGTGTTAAAGCTTTAAAATACTGATTCACTCATTTCTACTTTTTTTTCTGTTGTGTATTTAAATGGTCATACGCAGTGTGATGTACAGACACAGTTCCAGGTTGTAATTACAGTGAATCTAAAAGTTATTAGAGCTGTAAAACACAAACTTGCTTCTTCCCATCTTGTTTCTTAGTTACTGCATCTCACAGCAGGTAATACAATCAGCTCTTCAGAATAATGTGGCCCACTGCACTGACATTACTGCAATTATACTGTGAACATTATTACAATTACTCATGATTGTTCTGTTACTTTTGCATGTTATTTCACAGATAAAGTAAATATACAGAGACTCACAGAATCAGGGATTGAAAACACAACACATTTCTTTTGTGTTACCTTTTGATAAAATACTGTCTCTCTATTATAAAGCACAGATCTGAAAAAAACTCAGAAACTAGTTAAAAACTACACTATATATATCTTCATACAACATGTTTATCTTTGTCTATCTTATTAATTATTAATAAGTAGTGAATTAGCATATATTTTAAGTAAATACAGCTTGTTACAATAATATTACTATATTATTACTATATTATTACAATAATATTAATATATTATATCCTTACCCAACTTATTGCTGATCTTAAAAGTGTTACTGGCTCTTTCTTTTTACAAATGACAAGTGGGATAAGTAATAAATCAATTTTTCTCAAACAAGTTCAGTTTACTTTAATCATTAACTGTGAAATGTATTTATGAATAAGTCTGATATTGTTTTCCAGTGGTCTTATTCATGAACCAGTCAGTTTTCAGAGAAAAAAAATCTCAGTAATTAATGTTAGATATGAGAGAAATAACATTGTGTATATTTATTTGAGGACTGATGGACATGCTGGACATTCAGCTCTGCCTTCCTACACTCTGCATTCAGCACATTTTTTCTCCCTCAATAAAAAACTTATGAATTTGTGAAGGTTTGGCTAGAAGTTGAGCACAGCTTCATCAGAATTACTATATTAAATAGAATGATCCAAGCAGCATTTACTTCTGTCAGGCCAAATAATAGTTGTTTTTTGTTTTTTGTTTTTTTTTTAATTATTTTTTTTTTTTACCATTTAATCTAATTCTTGCAAAAGAGACAAGTTTAGATCATGCTTTTTCAGTAGCTGTCATTTTGCTATATCAGTTGTTCATAATATTACACTTTTAAGCATGGCTGGCTACAATTTTACACAACAATGCCTTGCACACATATTTTTTTAAGTAGTAGGTCTAAATCTTAATCAGAGTTGTTGTCATGGGCTCCCTCTGCTGGCGCTGTTTCACAAAGCCAGACTTCTTGTAATTTCTGACAATTAAAAATAAGTTCTGAGCATTTATAGACAATCAAATAAATCAAATATCAGTGATGATGATGTTTGAAAATCTTTACAGTGATACTAAAAGCTGATCTAGTTTCAGTATTTCCTGAAAGGAGCTTGAACTACATGTCCAAAAAAGTTGGAATGCTGTGCAACATATAAATAAAACAAAACACAATGATGTGCAAATCATTCAAACCTTATAATTAATTACTAATTGAAAATAGTACAAAGACATAATATCAAATGGTGAAACTGAGAACTTTTTCTACAATATTGCATGAGGGGCAAATATTGCAACAATTCAAGAAAAACGTTTTCACAACATAAACAAGCAAAGAACTTGGGGATTTCCTCATCTATGGCACACAATATATTAATAGATTCAAAGAATTCAGGAAAATCTCTGTATGCAAGGGACAAGGCCGAAAACCAATATTGGCTGGTCATGATCTTTGGGCCTTCAGGCAGCCATGAATTAAAAACAGACACAATTTTGTAGTAGAAATCACTGCACGGGCTCGGGAACAGTTCCAGAAATCATTGTCTGTGAACACACATTGTCACTGCATCTACAAATATAAGTTAAAACTCTACCATGCAAAGAAGAAACCATATATGAACAGGATCCAGAAACGCCACCGCCTTCTCTTGGCCTGATTTAAGATCATTCAAGATGGATGGAGGCGAAGTGGAAAAGTATCCTGTGGCCATGGATGACTTGAACATCTATGAAGGCATCATTAATGCTGAATGATTATATATAATGCATTTTCTCATGTGGAAAAAGTGAGTACACTCCTACATATATCACTACTTCAAAAGGTTCAAAATGAAAACAGGTGCACCTGATCAGGTGCTAAAGATTAGAGCAGTATTAGAGAATATTTTGGAGGAAACTGTTTTATTTAAACCTCAGATATCTGGTCTGGTTTGCTCTTTTGCTCTTGTTATTAGAGTGTGTGGTGTCGTCAGGTGTAGATCAAAAGAGCTCTCTCAGGCTTTCAGAAAGAAGGTTGTGGATGCCTATAAGTCTAGAAATGGGTTTAAGATTTCCCAATATTGGAAAGCAATAATTCCACTGACTAGAAAATCATCTATAAGTGCATAAAATTTAAAAAGCACTGCCAACTTGTCCAGGCCAGGCCACCCTTGCAAATATAACCTGAGAGCAGACAGTAAGATACTGAAAGAAGTCCCTAAGAATCCCCAGAATACAAAACATGCAGGTAGCTCTTGCCACTGTTGATGTAAAAGTGCATGCATCTGCTATTGGAAAGAGACTGCACACATTTGACCTGCATGGAAGGTGCACCAGGAAGAAGGCTTTGTTGTCCACATCAGGGCAAGACTCAAGTTTGCTAATCAATATCTAGGCAAGGATCAGGACTTCTGAAACAATGTGCTATGAACAAACGAATCAAAAGTAAAAGAGAGTTGTTTCAGTATCTGTCACAGTATCTGAAGCCACGTTTGGTGCAAAAGCAAAGATAGAATTTGATCAGAAGAACCTCATATCCTCAACCTCATATCAACTTGCAATCACAGAATCCACTATGAAGTCTCTTTCAGAGACTGCTTGAGGAGAATGTGAGACCAGCTGGAAAATAAATAGTTGAAATTGAAGAAGTGGACTTCCGATGGGCTAATGATCCCAAACATACAAGTAAATCCACCAAGAAATGGACGAAATGTAGGGTTGTGGAATGGCCTAGTCAAAGTCCAGATCTGAATACCAATGAGATGCTGTGGGAGGATTTGAAATGGGCAAGACATGCAAGAAACATTCACATCTCAAACGCTGAACTGTTGAAAGAATTCGGCATGGAGGAGAGGGCAAACATTTCTCCTAGTAGATGTCAGAAACAGGTAGACAGTTATATGAAATGCCTACGTAAAGCTGTTTCTGCAAAATGATGCAGTACCAGCTACTTAAGGCATGTACTTACTCTTTCAAGAGACAAATCTCAAATCTAACATCTCAGTGTGTGTGAAATAAATGATTGCAAAAAAACAAATTTCCATTGTTTTCTTTTTTTTTGCTCTTTTACATAGCAGTTATCTATACACACTGTTTAATTGAAGATCAATTACTAATATGTCCACATATCAGTCAAAAAAGAGAAACATTTTATGAAGTGTACTTACTTACTTCTTCACATGACTTTATATTTACCTGCCCAGGGACTGCAGATGGAACTTTTTAGCTAATGCTTTTGAAATTAATGGATTTTGTGCATGACCCCAAACAAAATAAACTAATAAACTAAAAACATAGTATATATA